TAATTTAAGATCCCGGGAGTCCATAGGCACTCCACTCTCTCTTTACAAGAAATGTGATTTCTCAGTGTAACCGGTAGCCTCGATTTTTCTCACTTTCATCGAGTCGATCATGTTTCCTGCCGTTCCACACACACACACACACACACACACCCTTACACCCGACACAGGTGGATGAGAGCTCTTAACTTTACGGGTTACTGAGGTTGGTTGGTTGGGGTTTTAATGGCATTTGGAAACGTTGTTACCGGTTTTCTTTTCTTTTCTCTCCTGTTATTTTTCTCCTTTCTTCCTTTCCCTAGTCTCCCTCGGCTGCCCCCTGCTAACCCCTTCTCTCTGCACTCCTGTTCCCAACCCCGGCCCCTTTCATTCAGGTAAAACTGTAAATTTCCCAATGCGCCATTGTTCCTCTGCACAGCCCAAAGCTCCCTAGAGATCCTCGAATACTTTTTTGGTATTTAAATCCCTGATAGATAGGACCAATGTAAATTTTGTGACATTCAAACCTTTTCTAGTTCACAAATCAGTCACCCTTGTCACAGTTATTGAAATTCCGCAACTCGCCACACCAGGACGGTGGAAAAAGCGGGCGCGGTCTTTGTTGCCGACCAGGCTTTTGATCGCCAGAGAAAATTTACTTACCTTCAGATGAGTGAGCAGAAAAAGAAATAACACTCCCTTTGATTTAGTTAGGAAAATGCAGACATTTGGATTCAGTGCAAACATACAACACTCGCTTGTTTTCGCGATGCGGCCCTCGATTAACCTGTCTTTGCCCAGCGCAAAGTCTATTCAACAACTGCGCGTAGTTGCTTTTTGTCCCGTCCACAAAGACCCATTGACTATATATTAAAATGATTGTTGAAAGGTAGAGGAGTATGGCACTTAAAAGCAGGGGAAAAAAATCCCTGTGACTCAATCAATTAAGCCAAGCAACATTTATGCATTTCAAAAAATGCACGCGGATGCAGGGGGTTGGGATGAAGGTTGCGTTTCTCCGCTGCTCTGTTTAAAACCCTGCAGCCTGGGCCGAGGGTTTAGCCCAAACGTCTGCATATTCATTAGGTCTAATTATTTTCTAGTAAGGAAAACACAAAAAGCCAAGAGTCGGAATCCTTCAATTTGCCCTTTGTTTCTAACTTCATTTGGCGTCTTTGCTGCTGAATCAGAGCCCTAAACTCTTTTTTCCAGACAAAGAAACCTCAACTCATCCTTTCCTAGGCGGCCCTGTAGGAAACTCAGCAGTGCCCCGGGGAGAGGAAAATGAAAATGAATTTTTTTTTTTTTCCCCTGTAGACAAGCGGGCTGGACAGGCTGGAGGAAGGCAGGGTCAGCGATGTTCCTGGCTGGCCGGTGTTCTGGTCTTCTCACCGGCTAGATTCTCCTCTGGGGCTGGCGAGCTGAGCTGCCCTTTCCTTGGCTCTACTAGCCTAACAGTCAGGCTTGGGTGTCCGGGATGGCTTCCTGGTGTCTGAAGGACTTGGACGAGCATTTGTGCTTGTTGAGCTAGGAAATAGAAATTGGAGGGGGAAAAAAAGGAGACAAACACAAGTGTTCTGTCCCCAGCAACAAGTCTGAGACCAGCAGCCTAGCATTCCCCACAACTTTGAATGGAACAGATGAGGAGTTTAGGGGAAAGTCTAGGGCGTGAGGATGTATTTTTAAAAACTATTATACACTTCACTCAACGAAGAGCGATAGTCAGGAGCCTCTCAGTCTTTTCTATTACCTACAAGGGGAAGTTGGATCCCGCTTCCTCTGGAGTTGCAAAAACCTTAGTGCAGGAAGTTTTCTCTAGAGGCTGTACTGCTCTCACTGGAGAGCGAGCACAGGCACCTATGACAAAACAAAAAACAAACCATAAAAACGACCTTAGTGTCAATTCTAACACAACTGTTCACATGCCACGCGGTGAGTGCAAGGCTGAGGTCTGTGACCAGAAATGGGCTCTGGAAGTCTCCCCATAGAGTAGTGTGGGGGTCCCTCTGGCTTCTGTCTCTCAGCAATAAATCATGGCCGTGGAGTGGTTTCAGGAAGCTTACTGCCCTCTCAGCTCGTTAGTCTCCTGTGTGCTTAAAGCCCTTGAGATCTTTCCTACACTTTTGCTATTCCTCAGAAGGCCCAGAATAAGATCTAAGATCAGTTCCTCTTCCTCCACCACTGGAAGCCAAGCTCAAATATTTAGCAGTATAGAATGTAACGCCTTAAAAAAAAAAAAAAAAAAAAAAAAAAAACCAAGGGAGGGGACCTGAGGGGGAAGGGTAGTTGTTGGGAGGGGGTGAGGGAAAATAATTCTTCAAAAAAGAAAAGTCAGGCTTCCCTTCTCCAGTCCGTGGAAAATCCAACGGGGACGTTGACAAGAGGGTATTTTTAGGAAACGCGTCCAAATATACAGGGTAAGAGTGAATGTGAGAAAAAAAAAAAAAGTTGTGGGTTGTAGAAGTTATCAAGTGGGATTTGCGGCGCTCTCTGCAGGAAACGCAAGCGGCTCCAGTTCAAAGCCACATGCACCAACGTGACATATAAGCCATTAAAATATCATCCTGACGGCTCATTTCTGCTTCATCATACATTCCCTAACTGCTTCCCGAAAGCTGGAAAAGGAGAAATGAAGGATGACCGCCTCGCTGGAACCACAAAAGAGATGCTTGGAGGGGTTTGTGGTCCCCCCTCAGACACCCCGAAGTGATGTGCAGAAATGAGGCGATCCTGGCAACAGGTGTGGGGTAAGTGCATTAGTCCAGAGGGCAAACGGAAGAGACCTGAACCCCAAGCGGCAACTCAGCAAGCTCCTTCATGGGGGCTGTTTGCACCCAAATCCCACAGGGGGAAGAGGCCCAGCCAGACTTTGTCCCCGTCTCCTCCTTCATTGCCCCCCCCACTGTAGATCCAAGGCCCCACCCTACTGACACTAAGGGGAGGAGGGGGCCCTTCCGCAGAGGGGCAGCACTGAGGGTGAGTCCATCCCTTCTTCCCAGAGGGGGGGAGAGGGGGCCAAATGGGGGTCTCCTGGCACAGGGAACAAGAGTAGCGAGTAGCCTGTCCGCTTCCCCTTCCTTCCTTGTGAATTGCCATAGTGCTCTACGGTGGGCACGAGAAGGGGAGTGGTGGCCCAGAGTTTCCCTCGAGCGAGTGAGCTGGGCAGAGGCCGGGAGGGGGCCCCTACAGGCAGATTCTCCGCCTTGCAGCACACTGGGATTGCACGGAGGGTTTCATCATCCTCTCCCCAAGGTCAAAGAGCCAAGTTAGCGGACTGGCAGCAAAATGATGGAGTTTCTCCGCCCCAACCCGACGGTGGAAGCCGGCTGGGTCACCCTCGGCCCGGTGCCTTGCCCTCTCTCATCTTGGTCCTGCCTCACGACGCTGAGCTGGGATCCGCTTTCTGCGCCCCGGCTGGCAGTGGGTCTTTCTCCTGGCTGCTAACAAGGGCTGCGCCGGGCACTCGGCACTCGGGAGCAGGCCACAGTCCCTAGGACTTTAACCACTCCATAGTTGAAGCACTGGAGATTAGGGGCAAGTGAAGAGGAAACGGGGTTAGGCTGTAAAAGAAGCTAGGAATTGTCTGAAGTCTGGATCTGAAAGTTTGGGGTTGACGAATGGCCCGTAGGGACAGTTGGGAGCCAGCGAAGTCCTAGGAATGAAGCGGGAAGCGCTGGAGGGCTGCCCCGGGCCGCACCGTTTGCCGGGAACTCCCTTTGGATACCATGGTCATATTTCTCTTCATTTGTGACAGCATTGGCCTCGCAGCGACCCAAGTGGTCGCACCGCTTTCTCTCCCTCCAAGTCTCCTGCAGGTTGAGAGTGGGTTCAAGGGGAGGTTGAATGTCCCAGCTGGTCCTGTAGATGACCCACTGATGCAGTGTCTCATCTCTGGGCACCCAGAGGTTGCCTAGCCTTCAGCACCAAGCTGAAAGAACCCAAGCTCCTCTTTCCTAGCCGGCCCTCGCACAACCCAGCCTCTGCAGCTCAACTTCCCGGCACTTGACGGCCTGGGTGGAGGGGTCGGGGAGGTGCGTGGGGTGGCAGGGAGGTAGCGGGTGCAAATGGCGGTGGCAGGCTGGAGCAGAGGCCAGTAGCTGGTTTCGTTCCTGGCTTGGGAGTTCCCAGCCAACCTCGAGGGCCTTTACTCTGAGACCGCTGGAGCCGATTTGGAGCCAAGAGGCGGGCACCCCTTTGCCGCCCGTGCCTGCCTGCCGATTAATCAGTGCGGAGCAGCATGGAAACTGAAGTCGCTGGCTGCGACTGACCTCTGACCTTAGGCATGCCTGCCCCGCTTAGTTCGACCCCACCACGTTTAGCCTCCACGGCCCCCCAAATAGAAATGGTGCCTTTTGCACGTACCCACCGCCCCCACAGTCTTGGCTCTCCTCCCATACTATCAATCACTGAGGCGCTCTGGCACCCTTCCCTCTTCTTCTCAAGGTGAGGGTAGGAATGCAGATTCCTGTAAATCACTAGGCTGTGCTCCTGACCCGTGGGGATTAGGTTCTCAGGAACAAGGATTTGGGGAAAAATCAAACCGAGCTTTCTGAGGCTCCTACATGCCAGGGTTGGTGGGGAACCTCAGGTCCTGGAGCCCTCAGTTCTCTCACCCCTCCTTTGGCAGGATGATTGGCTTGCTAGGTGGTACCAGAGGAGATGTATACCCGGTTCCCAGCACAGGCCAGGTGATGGAGTTGCTACAGAGCCTTGTAAGGTTCTCAAAGTCTGCCTCTGGTCTGCCGTTGGCAACATTTATTTTGCAAGCCTATGGGTTTGTGATGCACAAAGGTTTGATTTGGGGGGGAGGGGGGAGTGTCAGTGCAGAAGTGACCTAGACTTCTTAGACTTTGGTCTGGGGCAACATTGTGGGTAGACAGATGTTTCTAGGGAACCTGACCCCCATTTCTCCCAGAAGCAAAGGGAAAAAAAAGAAAAAAAGAATTCTATTATTGTCAACGAACCAGGACTTTTTTGTGCCAGATATCCTGCTACAAGGGAATTTCAGAGTGAGGATGCCCAGCATGCTGCCCTTCTGTAAGAATGCAGAGTTGGGCTTTTCCTGATTTTTGCTGGAAGGAGCTTATTACCTTTGAGGAAGGCTATCTCTCAGTTTAAAAGAATCTTAAATAAATAAAACTCTCTAGGAAAAGGTGAGTTTACTCTCTCCATCTCAGGCTTGGACCTAGGAAAGAAGGGAAGGGAAAGGGTGAGAAACACCAAACTAGTTGCAGTCCGGGGTGGGGGTTAAGGATAACAAAGAGATCTTTGAACATAGAAAACTGGATACCCTTTGAGATAACAGAGCTCCACTTGGATTTGGCCTGTGGTTCAACAAGTTAAACAACCGCTTGTTCTGTGGGCCAGAGTGTCAAGACAGGCAGACGTCCTCATTGACAGAGGGCTTGCTGTGTTTGTCCAGCCTGAGACCTTTTCAATGACTGTTTGTCTTTCTAGGCCAAATTGAGGGTTGAGGCTGGGTAGGTCCCCTCAGTTAGGTTCTTGCACTGCCTTCAGCCTCATCTGACAGACGGGCAGGCAGAGGCCTCCAGGACAGCTTTAAGGATTTAGGATGGCCAAAGGCTTGGCAGCCTTAGGCACAAAGTGAACCTAATAAGTAATGCAAATATCTCAAGGCAGTGTCTAACCTTCTCTACTTGGAAATGGGACAACCTTGACCAAATGATTAAAATGATACTTTTTTAATCTGGTGAATTTTATATTGACTTTGAAATGTCAACCGGTGATGGCTCCTCAATGAGTCTGGGTGTGTGTGTCGTGTGAGGCTAAGGGATTCTGCACCACCACAGGGAGAACAGGATTTGAAAATTTGCAGAGAAATTCCTCTTCTCTCAATTCTAACACTTATGACTCAAATTATAACCTGTTAACGTTCCAGAGAACAGTGGACTCCCCCCAACACACCTCACTAAATTCAATGAATACACTTCAAAAGATAGTGGGGCTTCTCTAACAATAAATTTAAATTCTAAATGTTAAAGATTTTTGAACATTAATTAAAAGAGTGCTCTCTTCTTCCTGCAAGGCAGAACAACAAATGAGTTTCAGAGAAAAGTCTAGGTGGGAAATTAGGAATTTTTCAACATTTTTTATCACCACATATATTGTTTTGCAGTGAATATGGGTGGTTCCCAGTGAAGTCTTTTTCTTTTTCTTTCTTCCTTCCATTCTTTTTTTTTCTTTTCCAAACACTTTTCTATTGCTTCCAATTTAAAAAGGCTCAAAGAATGACCCAAAAACTCTTCAAACCAACACCTTCTTTCATTCATACATTCAGCTCATAGAATCTTAATACACAAATATGTATAAAATTAATTACTGATTGTCCCTCTTTTCTTCTCAGTCTTAAAGTCAGAAAATGAGATACAAGACTTCCTTGGTGATGAGGAAACGATTACGGCTTTACCGAAATACTCTGAAAGAGTCAAGTAAGTTAAAAATCTTTTGAATGTGGGCTTGCAGAAGTTTTTTTGTTTATTTAAGTCAGAGTTTTATGTTGTCTTCTGGTCCTGTTGAGTTGTGAGTTTGGAGTTATTTCTTAAGTCCAAATGAGACTTAGGACAACATCTTGGTGTTCGATACAGTTGCACACAAATCAACTACACAACATCCCACCAGCAGCCGGCTAATCCCCCTCAATGCCTACTCATCTGGACGTTCTAGAATTAATATTTGACGACTCTCTCATTGAAACAACCACCCCTGACCTTCTGCAATTCCACTGTCACATTATTCTATGACATATTCATCTTGAATTCATTTCCGGACGATTTGATTGGAATGAGGTTTGACATGTATTGGCTTCCATGAAAGAAGCAGACTTTGATCTTGGTGATGGGGTTTACATGATATGCATCATCTTTACCACGGACACCAGGCTTCTGCAATGTGGCAGCGATGACGGTCCCACAATGTGGTGTCTGAACCGGGAGTGACTGACAGCCTCTCTGTTAGGAATACCTTCATTGTGAAGAATTTAATTTAATATTCCATTTAGAATAAGCATACAATTTAGGGTTGGGTGTTTTCCATTCCAGGCTTCTAGTTACCCTCACTTCAGCTATACCACTAGCTGAGGGTTGCCTCCAAGGATGCTCCCTCTGGTAAGCAAAGCACCTTTCTTAACAAAAGTTAAATGGGCAGCTCAGAAAATGGCTCTTTTGCATTCTTTTGGGATTATATGGTGGCAGCAGTCTCAAGAGATATGTAGTTATTATGTAAATTCAGTTGTCTTGATTCCTTAATGTTTTTTGGAAGATCCTTTAGCAATGTTTTCTAATCTTTTGTCAAATGACATTTTGTGTAGAAACCTTGCTTGGAAATTAAATTCTACCCAAGTATATTTTCTTCCATACTCAGTTTCATTACTGATGATTAAAGGCTAAGTTTCCATAGCAGAGGGAAAGAATATCTTCTTTCATTTCCAAGATCCTGATAGATCTCATCTCCTTTCCACAATTTGGATTTGGACATATGGGCAGACTCCTGGGGCTTAAGTTATTTCTTTTCATAAGACTAGAGACAACCTCCCACTGCAGGAATCCTGAAGTCTGTCTGTGAATAGCCTCTAAAGAGATTTGCCCCTTGTTTTCTGACCAGGGTGGTCATCTGGCCAAAACAGGGAAGAAAGAATTGAACAAGTGACTGCAGATCCAGATGCAGAACATTCAGTCTTATTATCAAGGCTTTTGCTTAGCCAGACTCTGTGCAGTGGCTCTTAGCTCCTGGGGTCCTTCTCTGGGCATAACTTGCAACAGATATCATTCAGCAATGCTTTAAAGATCAAAATGGAGAAATAACTAAGTTATTGATCTGAAATCTTCTCTATATTTTCTTTTCCAAGGGAGAGAAGTCAAACATTAGAGGCAGTGATATGAAAAACTCTGGCAAATGATATGGTCACCAAATGTCTCATATTTAGAAAATAGGTCTAGAAAATCACATATTTATGCCATTGCATTGGTCCATCTGGGAAGAGTAACAGTGTTTAGGACGTGATTCAGGGCATCGGTGTGCAGAGGTTCTGAACACAAGGGTGACTGAGAATGTGTAGTGGTAGAATCTGCTTTAAATAGGCCCCTATGAGAACTGCCAGTGCTTCTTTTGGATTAAAGACCTCTGGCTATGGGATATTTCTTTTCTCTGCATATCAAGCAGGAAAGTGGATTTAACAATGCTATAACTGAGGGCATGGTTAGAATGTGCCCAACAAGTCTTTGGTGTTGGGGGCAATGTAGTGGAGATGAGGTTCTGAAAGGAAAATTCTGAGGACCACTGAGAGGATGCCACTTTTCAGCTTGCCCAACTGCTAATCTCTAAAAGCTGGGATGCTTACTTCTGGAGCTCTAGAAGACTGGAAGAGATCCCTCTGAAGATTCAAATATACCTCACACACACACACATACACACACACACACACACACACACAGAATGAAATATGCCTTCCAGACACTGAGAGCTTACCTCCTGCCATCCAGGTTAGCTGGATACTACTTTGGGCTTTATTTCAGAGCTACGCTTTGAAGACCCCTATATAATTGCTCTAAGTTTTTTGTTTGTACAGAAGTTACTTTTTCCTCTCTCTCTATTGCTCTCTCTGAGGAATGTCCTTTTATAATATGTCTGGTCACACTGCTGTGTTTAGCTAATCAAGGTGTGGACCATGTGGCTCCAAGGAACTTGCAAGAATCAGGTAACCTTAGTGACCTGCAGGTCTGCTTAATCCTGACTCCTCCAGAAGCAGCTACCTAAGATAAGCACCAGATGTTTTCAGCACGTGGAGAAAAAGTTGCATCTGGGAGCTTGGTCAGGCCAGGCTAGCAGGTCATTTTGGCTGAATCAGATTTGTCAGCCTTTTGGGCTAGCACAAAAAGTTATACACACACTCAAACCTTTTCAAGAGCAAAGTTAATCAGAGATTGAGTGTAATATATTAATAGTCCATAGATATAATGTCTCTGCTTCATATCTCTTAGAATCCACAGAATCAGTGCGAGGGTCCATGGACTTCAGTGGGGAAAAATGCATCTTTATTGTTACAACCTTCTAATGGAAACTTAGCGTTTTCTTTTATTATAAACATGAACAGCAAACAAAAGAATATTAGTTCCTGAGCCCCCTTCTTCCAAGGGGTCCACAGCCAAAAATAGCCTAAAAATTCCTATTTGTACTGTTATTCTAAACTTTTGATGACAGTGGGGTTACAGTGTATAGTAAAAGTAATTTCTGTTGTGCAAAGCAGTTTTCATTGAAACTAAGGTAGGTGGTGATTTTGACAAACATCCTAAACAGCTGGTTTTAGATCACCTTTGTTGCTGGAATATTCCAAAAGCGTCCCCTGCACTTAGGCAAAAATGCCATGGAAGTGGCCTGAACTTCTTAGTGTTGAAGTATGGATAGGAGAGAGAACTGAGTAAGGGGTTCCCAGGATGGAGCAAACTCCAGTTTGTTGACTGGTTTGTTTCCTTTTGCTTTTGTCGTTGGGGTTTGTTTCTGTTTGATTTTGGTCCTTTCTTGGGTTCAGCTCAGACACTCCTACACTGCCCAGCAGACACCTACACAGCAGGAAGACTTGAATCATTCTCTGAGGGCAGGGGTACCTCATTAGTGACCAGGCCTGACCAATGCCTGACAGAAGTGAAAACAAGGCCAGGAATCAGAGAGGAGATGCCTCTGGGTAGAGGGAAAAGTCCAGCAAAGTAAGAGTGTTGGGAAGATGACAGAAGATAAATTTTCCAAGTCAGCCTCAAAACCCATGTGTGGAACCCCTGATTTGGAGAGCAAGAGGAGTCTGACAGTCAAAGTTCTCTGACTTTTTGTTTTTATTTTTGTTTTTGCTAACTCAGCATGTATTGAGAGCGTTGTCTGAGCTCTTCCCTCTGGAGGTGCGGAAAGACTCAGGCCTATCAAAGCTGAGAGAGATGGTCGAAGTTAATCCCTCGCCAAAGGGATAGTAAATTTAATGAGGAAAGCTGCACAGAATATGCCAAACATTATAAATAAGTTAAAAGAAATTCGTATTTATTGACCAGGAAATGAATAATAATAGTCTTTGATGCTGGGGTTGGGTGGAACAGACCAATCAATTCCAAGTCAGAGTTCTCTGTAATCTCCCCAAATTTCTTGCCTCTACGAGAATGCAGTGCAAGATTTTTTTTAGGAAATCCTTAAAACTTCTCTTCAACCGACAACTCTTTCTCTGCTTTGAGGAGATTTTTTTACAGGCCACCCTCGAGTTCTGAGCACTTAGGCTGACATTTTAGGCTACTCAGACCAAGGCCAGTGGCTGAGGCCAGCAGTTCTTTAAGTAACCAGACGATGCAGCTGACCCTACCCGGTGGCAAAGACAAAGGACACTCCCTCCCCACCTCCAGCCCCCATTTATGCCACACTTGACTGCCAGAACTGAAAGGTGTTTTTTTTTTTTTTTTTTTTTGCCTATAACCTCCAGCACCACCCCCCATCACAGTGATGACCTTAGCAATGAAGAGCATTTGTTGGGAAAAGGCCATGGGCTTGCAGGCCCTTTTAGAGCCTGGACCTCAGAAAGTAGCAGTCTCTCCTTCCAGAGCCCTAAGGAGCAAGGGAGGCAGAGACTAGGCCTGTGGGCAACAAGTGGCCAGAGCCTCAAGTGGAAGTGAGCCCCCAGTTCTTTCCCAGATGCTGTCTGGCAGCAGGGTAGAGCTCAGAATCAACCATTGCAGGGACAGACACGGAGATAAGGCTTTGGTCGTCCTGTTTGCGTGCCGGGCACTTCTCCTTCCATTTGCCAGCCTGCCAGTCCGTGTGACTTAGGAGAGCAAGCCTTCTCAGGAGGGCCTGAGGTGGGTTTAAGCCCGCCTTCTGCCATCATCACCTCCTCCTGCCCAATTCTGGCTGTGGTCTGAGCTCACTTCTGAGCTTCTCAGGTCTGAATTTCTCAGGCACCGGGAAGGAGCCGCTGGCAATGTTAAGTGGGAAGAGTGTGGGGAAGAAGGAGAGGAAGAGGAGAGAAGACGGGATCCAAGTAGCAAAGCGAAGCGTGGTAGGGGCTTGGGGAAAATAAGAGCGAGAGAAGACTAGAAAGAGGAGAGGAACGAGACATTTCGGAGGACGTGAGAAAATAAAATTAGGCTCAAGGGCCGGTAGCCTAGGAGTTTCTCTGCTTCGGGAGCCTGATCTGCAGCCCCTTCCGCTCTCCATCCCGGCAACCTCAGCCTCCCCGCTCTGATCCCAAGTGCCCTAGCAGACATCCTTCCTCGCGCTTTTGACGCGGTGCCTCAGCCCGAAATGGGGTGGGGATCCCGAGAACAGTGCGCGCAGCGCAACGTCCGCTCCCCAAAGTCGTGATGAATGTAGGCATAACCCAGCCCGGCTCGATCGTAGAGGCTGAGGCTGAGCGGAGCTCCCCAGCTCTCCGGAGGGGCGGGGTGCGGGGAGGTTCGGGTGGAGAGAAAGAATCTGTGCCCGGGTCAGAGCGCATGAGCAGTAGAAGCGTGAGATGCTGTGGGGGTGGGGTAAGGGAAAACGTGTGCTGTGCGTGTGTGCGTGTGTGTGTGTGTGTGTGTGTGTGTGTAAAAGAAGAGACCGCGTGCAGCGGGACCTGTCATCGCTGACGTCGGGGCCGGCCGCGGGCCAATGGGCAACGTAGGCGATTGTTCCTCTCGGTGGCCCCCGCCGCAGCCCCGAGTCCCTATTCACTTCCTCACGCACCCTGCTGCTGCCTGTGCAGCGAACGGGATTTCACGTTAGGCATTAAAGACCGAGAGATGGGGGGGGACCCCAAACTCGAGAGAAAAAATAACTCCGCAGAAGTTTTTGGTGGTTGTTTTTCTCCCCCTCCCCACTGTCAGGTGACAGTGGCGTGAGCGGCCCGGCACAAGGACCTCTGAGGAGCCCGGGCCAGGATGCCCCAGGCCGCCCTCTCCCAGACAAGCAGGACACTGAAATTAATCCACATGGCTGGGGCGCTCCAGAAGCACAGCCCCTTCCACCACCACCACCGCCAGCAGCCCCACTTCCGCACTTCCATTCTCCGGGGCAGCAAGACCCCGAGCGCCCCGGGGCGTTGGCCGCCAAAGTGTGCTCCGGGCTTAGGTCCGACCCCTCTAGAGCAGAGCTTGGGGGGCCGTGCAGCAATTTTCAGACTCATCCCTGCGCCTCCCACAGCCCCTTCTACCTACCCCGCCGCCGCCACCCTTCTTCAGCTTATGGCACGGCAGGGGACTCGGCCACACAGCACCCCGGCCCGACGGCAGCAGAAGCCTTTGACCTTGCTCTTTCCACCAGGTTCACTGCTAGCTCCGTCTGCCTCCAGGGCCCCGCGCTGACGGCAGAGGCCGTGGCGGTGCGGCTGGGCTGGGCCTGCCCCCCGGGGCCTGGGGGAGCAAGCAGCCGGCGCCACCCGATCTCACGCGCGCTATTTGTCTCAACAACAGGTAGCAGCTCTGGACATCATGGCCCCCAGCTCACCGCCGCCTCCAGCCCCTCGGTGTTCCCGGGCCTCCACGAGCAGCCTCCCCAGGCCTCCCCCAGTCGTCCTTTGAACGGACTCCTGAGTCTGGGGCTCCCAGGAGACATGTACGCGCGGCCTGAGCCCTTCGCGCCGGGACCTGCGGCCCGTAGCGACGCTCTGGCAGCTGCCGCTGCCCTGCACGGCTATGGGGGCATGAACCTGACCGTGAACCTCGCTGCGCCCCACGGTCCCGGCGCCTTCTTCCGATACATGCGCCAGCCGATCAAACAAGAGCTCATCTGCAAGTGCAGCCGACAGCCCTGCGCCCCCGCGTCTCTGCTCCAAAACTTTCAGCACCATGCACGAGCTGGTCACGCACGTCACCGTGGAGCACGTCGGCGGCCCGGAGCAGGCCAACCACATCTGCTTCTGGGAAGAGTGTCCGCGCCAGGGCAAGCCCTTCAAAGCCAAATACAAACTTGTAAATCACATCCGCGTGCACACGGGCGAGAAGCCCTTCCCCTGTCCTTTCCCGGGGTGTGGGAAAGTCTTTGCTAGATCAGAAAATCTCAAAATACACAAACGAACTCACACAGGTCAGTATTGGGCGCTGTCTGTCTCGTGCGAACCCTCTGGGGAAACAGGCCCTCGGGTCTATGTTTCCTCAAGTTCCAACTGAGGGGGCGGGGAGGTATTTTGGTGTTGTTTCCATGAGCCAAGGCCATAAAATATTAATTATGCATTTCTAGTTTTAGAATCACCAAAGTTTCTGGAGGCTGTGTGTAGAGAGGATAGTGTAGGATTTCTGCTCTTGGGGACAAGACTAACAGTGCCTGAGTCCCCTGTGTGTGCAGACGTGTGCTCCCTGCTTATGAAGTTTTGTTTTAAAGGTATCTAAAAGAACGTTGTTCCCCAAAGTTGTAATATGACATGGGAGCAATTGTCTAACTTTTCCTGGTTGCTTTGGAATGGTGTGACAGAACACTGCCACCAGTCAGCCTGACGACCTGACCACCACCTGAACCGAGGTCTTCAGGCAGTAGGTGCTTTCTTTAAGATCTGGGCCATGCCATGGCCCTGTTTTCAAACCTTGGTGGCCGAACACTAAGGCCAGTGGGTGAACCCTCACTTTTACTTTAGCAGAGACCCTAATGGGACTCATCTGCCTTAAATGTCATTTACCGAGCTGTTAAATGAAATGGGGACATGTGTCAACCACATCTGTTAGTTTGAGTTAACAGAAAGAAAAGGAGCCCCACAGAAGAGCCTGCAAAGTTGAACTCCTCTGGCCGGAAGCACCTCTAATTAATGCAATTGCACGGAGAAGTTTTCACACTTTCAGAACAGGCTGTGAAGTTACATTAATTAGCTTTGCAGTCATTGTTTGTACTCTCCTTAGCTGGGGTTTTCTGGCTTCCCCCTCCCTGGAAGTGAAGAAGTCAATCTCTCCCTCCACCCACCCCCCATTTTGGAGGAGGGGAAAAGGGGACTGGTGGGGAGAGGAAGAGATGAAATAAGTTCCAGCTTGGTGCCCCAATTCTACAATGGGGTCTCCCCGTCTTTCACTTTTATATTCTTGCTGCAACATCAACAATTGTTAGAGTAAAATAACTCCCCCAAGCTGGCACTGTCAGAGAAAGACACTTGCTAATCCCCTCCTCCACTCCCAAACCCATGTTTTTCCAGGAAAGTCCCGGGCCAGGACACTGGCACAAGCAGGGCCCAGACCAAGTCCATTTTTAAGTCTTTCACTTTATTTCCCAAGCATGTCTGAAAGTGGGTGACTTCTCTGAGCTTATTCTGTGGTTTTCTCCCTTTTGCATGCATCTGATCCTCTCTCCCCCAGTTTATCTGGGAGGGGGAAGGGGGAGATGGGGAGGATAGGTGAGATCCCGTTCGTGCCTGCAGGCCTACGACTCCAGGAGCTGCCAGCGGCGCGGGAACGCGGACGCGCAATTCTGAACTGGAGAAGTAACTCATCTTTAATGACAGGGTTGTTTTTTTTTTTTAAACAAACAAACTTTTACTGCTCTTTGCCGGCCCACTGTTTGAAGTCTGTGAAGCAGAAAATGGTTAAATTCTTAGCTCAATCGACCTACAGCAGAGAAACAAGTTCAGTGTGCCCGGGCTGGCTCAGGTTTTCGGCTCTTCAGGACAGAACTCTGCGTTCTTTCTGCTTACCATCCTGCTTCAACCGCTTGGGTTTAAATAAAAGAGAAAGAAAGAAAAGAAAAAAGAAAAGAAATCTACAGAGTCTCGCTTGCTCCGGAGTTTCCCTCAAACCCCCCTCCAGAGTAATGAAAAGTGGAGAGAGAGAGAGAGAGAGAGGGAGGGAGAAAAAGAGGAAAAAACCAACAAAATGTTTCTCAAATGGCAATAGACCTCACTACAAATTATTCATGAAGACAGTTCTCGATTCAACAGGAAAATAATTGCCTTTTCAAATATTAATGGCGTTTCATTTCCTCGAGTCGCAGACGGCAAACAGGAGCAGATTTCTCCGGAGTTGAGATTCTACCGGATCTGAATTCCGGGCCGGGTACTAGCGGCGCTGCGGCGCCCAGAGGTTTCACTTTGTGGCGGTCCCAGCGATCCCGGAACAATAGCGCTGTGGCTGCGGCTGCGGACGCGTGGGGCCAACCTCCGCACTCCGCCAGGACCCCGCGGCCTGGCGCCCCCGCCCCCAGGACCCCTAGACTGGGGGATCGCCCCACCTTCCCCGCCGGCCGATAGTGAGTCAGGCCTGGGGATCCGAGGTAGAGAAGACCTCGCCGGGGCGGAGTCGCCGGGACAGCCAGACCCAGCTACAAGTGCGAGAAAATGGCGCTGACCAGGACGCCCAGACGCTTCCCAACTTTGTTAGGCGGGCCTGGCTCAGGGCCGGGGAGGAGGCCTTTTCGGACTGCCGGGTCTCGGGGGAGGAGGTTTCGAGCCTTGCACAGCTAAGCTCGGGGCTCAGGCCGCTCTCCGCGGGCTGCAGGGGCCTGGCTCAGCCCAGCTCTCCACATTCACCCACCCGCCCAGGGTACGACGCCCGGACCTGGGAGGAGGGGGAAGGGCGGAAGGCAGGGTTGGCGACGGACGCAGGGGGTGGGGACGTCAAAGGAGGAGACCAGGGCGCCTCCCGCGGCTTAGTAGAGCTTGGGGGCGCGGCCTCACCTGGCCTCTAAGGGGCCTGCGAACTTCCCGGCTATCCGTAGCACCTCAGTGCACTGCTTTTTCTTCTCTGCTCCTCGTCTGGAGCGAAATCATCATTTTTATTTTATACAATTGTCCAACGAGGCGCTCACAGAAGGGGATAAGTGTGTGGCGGGAATTTTTTCTGGGGTGGGGGTGGGGCATCAACTTCATATTCTGTTCCCCCTCTTCCCCCCCCCCAGGTAAACTGTGTATTCTTCTGTAGTCCCTGAAATGCATTTTTTTTTTATTGTTGTTGTTAAGACTTTTAGAAAGGAAAGAAAGGAGGAAAGTTTTGGTTTTGCAAACGCTGGCAGGAGAAAAATGGAGGGTCAAACAGGGACACTGATTTATTTATTCTGCATCTTGCCCCGACATTTTCACAAAATGGGGACCGCGTCCGGAGAAATGGCAGACGCCAACACTTCCCAAGCGCCCAGTGTCCCAGCGGCACTCTTGCAGGGGGCGCGCCCGGCGAGCGGTGCCAGAGCCCTGGACTCACTAGCCTTCACCCGCGCAAAGGTGCAGCTTGCGCGCAAACCTCTGGCTCAGCCCGAGCCTCAAAAGGGCTCGGGAACAGACGCTTTGTTTGTTCAAACCTGCCCCAAATGGCTGATCTTTCCTGGAAGCGGCGGGAGACGCGGCCACAAAGGCAACAGTGCTCCAGCTGTGTACCGCTTTCTCCTTTCCCAGACGCTAAGTAGCGGGTTCCTTAACCCAGAGCGCCGGGCAGCATCCATTTGCGTAAAGCGCCCAGACACCTTCCCCTCCCCTTTTCGCAGCGTTTGCTGCTCCAGCTGGAACCTGGGATTCCAGGTTTTTGTTTATTTTGCCTTTTTTCCCCTCTCCCACACGCCAGCAAATCCAGGCAGCAGTGAGCTCCGAGACTGGGTCCCTGTCTGGCCCACAGTCCCACCCTGACGCGCGCTCGCGTCTTCCCCGGGCTCCGTAGGGCACCGCAGGCACCGACCCGAGCCCTCGCCGGCCTACCCCGGCTGCCTGCTTGCTCTCCCACCGGCCGGCGGAACTGGGCCTGGCCTAACCGCAGCCGCTGCTATCATCCCGAAGCCGCGCGGTTTATGGGCGCGATTGCAGAAGGGACCTCGGATTCGGTTCGCTTAGGCAGCCCCCGCTGCTCCGGCCGCCCCCTCGGCTCAGGCCTTCAAGGCCGGGTAGTTGGGGTAGGGGGTGGGGATTAGTCTGAAAAGGACAGTCAGCCTCGCAAAGTCAGTTCGGACTGGGAGGGCCACCTGCCCACGGCAAAGTCTCCGAGAGGCCGCTGGAGCAGCGTAATAAAATATCGTTGCTGGCGCGCCTATCTGGAAGGATCCCGTACGGTTTAGGCAGGATTTGAAGAATGCTGCTAAATGTTTGCCCTCAGGGGGTAAAAAGGGAAGGGGGGGAGGCTCCAGTTCCCGTAAAAATTGCCTCTGCCTTGAGTCATGTCTCAGAATACCTTTTTCCCGAAGCACAAATCCACGTTTTGCACGCGCCGTGCGCATCGGCTGAGCATCCTTAAATTATTTCATCGCCTCGGTGTTTGGACAAAAGCTACTTTAGGAAACAATTTCAGGATGGAATGTGTGCCGGGTGGACCGTTGGGCAGGGGCGGGTTGTGCAGACGTTTGGCTGAAATAGCAACTTTAAATCCTCAGTCAACTCTACTCTCCCGGCAGCGGTGCTTCTGGCTTCGAGTGGAGAAAATGTGGAGGAAAACAACCCAAGCTGATCAAGATTTTCGAGGACGGAAACTCCACTAAGATGGAGTCGTTGTCGCTCCTCCTCTGTACCCTCCCCCAAGGCTCCAGCAGGAGTGGGGGAGGGGTAGAGGCGGGCCGAAGAAAGCCCTGGGGGGAGCGCTCTGCGCGGGGAAATGGGGTATCCGACCTGAGTCGAGGAGGGAAGGGGTTTCCGAAAGTCTTTTGTGTTTGTTTTTTTTTTCTCTCTCTCTCTCTCTCTTTTTTTTTTTCTCTTTCCCCCAGAACGGGAAAGAGG